AGGGGACGACCTTGAGCGGCGGTTTGCGTCCGAAGAAGGCCTCGAACGGCGACATCCAGGCCGGGTTGGCCGACGTCGCGGAACGGTTGAAGCAGCCGGAGGCCCAGATCGCCGATGCAAGCCACAGCCGGTGTCCGTTGGCGTCCATACCGGGGATAGAGGTGAGGTCGAAGTAGCTCATGGAGAGGACGTGGCGGCGGGCGGCGTGGCCCCCCTTCATAGCTCGCCAGATTGCGCTTTCGACGACCGCATTCTGCTTCGGGGTGTCGGGCGCGGTGTACTCGCGCCGGATGCCAGCGGCGTCGCAGAACGCGACGAAGGCAGCACTCGTGAACTCCCCCGCGTTGTCCATGCGGAAACACCCCAGAGGGCCGTTGCCGTTCAGGTCGGCGAGGAAACGCCGCGTGTACGTCAGGGTGTCGCTCTTGGCCCGCATGCCGTACGCCCGTTGCCACCGCGACGCACTGTCCACGAACATAATCAGGTAACGGNATCAGGGAACGGGAACCATCGAACACCTCAGAGTACGGGCCGGTGATGTCGATGTGCACCTTGCCGAACGGTACCGCCGCGCGGGTGACTCCACGCCGCGGCACCGGGGCCCTCCTGCCCTTCGCCTCGATGCAGCCGACGCATGGCTGCAGTTCCCCCACCAATTGAACACCCTGCTGCTTGGCGGTTTCCCGCATCAAATTTTCATTCACGTGGCCGGTGGAAGCGTGGAACAAATTGATGTCGATGGTGGACGTGGGTTTTCCTACAGTGAACGCTGGACCACCGGGGGCGATAATCGCCAAAGCTTGGGAAAGGGAGGGGGGACCTAAATCTTGCTGCACACGGCATTCGGCAACGAAGTTTTTGAGCGCGTCCAACTCATCTTGCATCACAGCGAACGCAACGGGGGGCTTCACGGACTCACACACGCCTAATGGGTCGGGATAAAAGTCACCCGGTGGGACCGAGTCTTGTCCGTTCATCAAGCCTACATCCAAGAACATACTCATGTCCATCAAAGGCAAAATATCCTGGGACTCAAGGGGCATGATCTCTATCTCTCGCGACACATTCAGGTTCACGACTGAGGGGGACAGGACGTCGGATGAGGCGATGGCTGCGGCTAGGGCAGGCTGAAAATCTCGGAT